AATGGTTCAAGAACTCAAGAAGCATCAGGTCATATATGCATTTACATTACTTGGGCCATGCTATGTGTTAAGTATATGAACTTGCACACGCAAAGTGGTCTACATATTTGGAAAATAGCACCGCCCAGGCTCGCAATATATATACATATGTCAGTAGAAGGTTTAAGAGGAGAAACATATAGCATATATCCAAGCATGGCAAAAAAAAAGGGGGGGCTCAAGCAGTCGTGCATCAAAAAACTTTTGAAGCAGTGGGAAATATCTTACTTGGCTGGGGAAGGAGTTGATGTCAGTTCAGCGGCAACTCCCCGGAGCACGGCGACTATCCAATAGTTTTCCTCTGCAAATGGTGTCATTGTCGACAGCCATGCCTCCAAATGGCGTCATTGTCGACAGCCATGCCTCCAAATGGCGTCATTGTCGACAGTCATGCCTCCAAATGGCGTCATTGTCGACAGCCATGCCTCCAAATGGCGTCGTTGTCGATAGCCATGCCTCCAAATGGCGTCATTGTCGACAGCCATGCCTCCAAATGGTGTCATTGTCGACAGCCATTAGCATCCCCGTCGATGACAGCAACGTGCCGGAGCACGTGCTTGGTGACATTTATCCTTGTGACAGCAACAAAGGCGCGCCGGAGCAAAGTCCTAAGGCAACATCCAACAGTAGCCTTCCCCGATGATGGTGGCCGACGGTGAGAATTGACAATGGTGAAAACAGTCGGGAGAAAATTAATTCTCAAAGTGTTTCCTGTCCAATGTCTCTCACGTGTCTCTTCTTGTTCTTCCCCAATCAAAGTGGGTGACGGCGAGTCCAAGCAGTTCCCAGTCCAGTGTTCGTAAAAATGGCAAAATTCCAAGTAATTTCCCATCCAATGCTCTCAATTCTTGCTTTGTTTGATTTATTAAATCCCATGGTAAATGACCTGCAAAATTAAAGACAAATACATGTATATAAATGGCGCATGAATTAAAGTTACCTGTGAGGGTCTGGCTGAGGAATGAAGACGCAGGAAAGTGAAAGCCTATTTATAGTGTTATTTGGGTGGATATGGTTCATCTACACTCCAAAACTACCTCAATTGATAAGTTATGCATCAATTTGCGTTTGTTACGTTTGGTCTCAATTCGCGTTTGTTACGTTTGTATTATCAGTAACTGCATGGTTTATGTGGACTCAATCTCCCAGCAAGAATTATAAGGATAATACAAGTACATTTTATCAAGATATGTGTTGGTGATTTGTGGGCAAGCCGCGTGTTAAGTAATGGAATGGGGATGAGATAAGGATTATGTATGCGAATTCCTAGTCAATATTAGCTAAAGCTGTGATTTGGTTGTCAAAAACCATGCAAGGAAATTAATATTAGTCAAAATTGGGATTAAATTTGGCTAAAATGGAATGGGCATTTAATGAAATGGTGGATACACTATGGATTTTCAAATATTGGGCTGTTATCAAATTGGGTGTTCTACCATCAAGATATCCTTTATTGGACTGCTTTCTCCAAAATTGGACTACTACTGGTTAATTTCGAGACTACCTTCCTTTTGCATTTAAAGCACGTCAAGCAAGTCTCGAAGGAGCAATTTGTAGGCATTGAAAAATTTAAATAATACTGTTGGACCATGGTGGCTAATTGATTGCTAAATTAATTACTTTAATTAAGCTAATTGGACTAATATTTATTTAATTGGGTTAATTAAATGTCCCATTAAATAATTAATTAGTTTAATTACTTAATTAAATGTAATTGAATGTTGAATTGTTCGGCCCAAGTTGATGAAATATTTAATTGAGTTGGACCAGGCTGCTTGGATGAATTGGGTTGCCTAATTAGCGGGTTTGACTTGGTCTTGGCCCATCAAAATTATATGTGGATTATATAATTTTGAGAAATTGAAATATTTGATATTATTTTGAAATTTAATGAAATCATGAACCTGGACGCAATAGTGTCCCGATACGTTCCTTAATTTAATTAAAATAATTAAATTAAATTAGGAATTAAGAGTTGGTTGGAGATTTTCCCTCACCCTCACCACTATAAATAGTGGTTTCATTTTCAAAGAATGAGCTCTGGAAATCTCCACATCGAAGCTCTGCCGAAATCTCGCCAGGATATCGTCTGGAACACGCCCGCAGTTATATATACTGCGTATATTGCGCTGAGGAATACGCCACTTGAACACCGGAAGCCCTTCTTTGAAGATCAAGCTGCGTATTAGCCCTTCATTGAGGAACAAGCTACCAACTCCGGAGGCCCTTCAGCAAGGAACTACTCCAATTCGGCACACTCCCGAATTCGGCATACTTCTAGTTCGGCATACTCCCGAACTCGGCATACTTCCAGTTCAGCATACTCTGAACTCAACACACTTTCAACAAGGAATTCGGCATACTTCCAGTTCTACCATACTCCCGAACTCGGCATACTTCAAGTTCAGCATACTCTGAACTCGGCACACTCCCAATTTGGCATATTTCAAATTTGGCACACTTCCAATAGGCATACTTGTAGTAGAGAATCAGAGGACTTCTCATATACAGAGATTGTACCCCTTCCCGTTTGATATATACTTGATACTACTTGTAACCGATACTTTGAATTTTGAATATATACAATTCAAGATTTTCGCGTTTACAATATGAATGATTGGATTATTATGAAAGCGTGACCATAGGATACATGCTAGTAACTGTATATGCTCGTTTATGACTATTGGCTGTGTTTATCTCTATCTGTCGTATCTGTTCCCCACACCTGTGAATTATGCATGCTTGGTTATGAATATTGGTTATGCTTATCCCTATCTGTCGAGTCTATTCCCTGTTTTGAAAGCTAGAGTCTCTTAGGATATATCTTCATGCTTCGAAATGGTTTTCGTATATCTATGTATATATCTATATGTATTGTATTTCAACGCTTTGGAGTGGGTTACCAGCATCTCTCGTTGAACAGATATATTTGGCTTTCAGGCACCGACGAGTAGATCACTGGAGTGCGCTAGAGGCTTGGGGCGTAGATTAGATAGTTTTCCCTTCCGGCCTGCGTGCCATGATTTTGTATTGATACTGATTGAGGTTTTTAGAATTTAGCCTGTGCACCTGAGTTCTCTAGCTCGGGTGTGGCATAACACCTTGTATTCTTATAAACGTTTTGGGATTTATGATCATTTACCTTTGCTATATAGTCTTTAAAAGTTTTTAAAATTTCGGGGTGTTACAGTTGGTATCAGAGCCTAAGTTTGACCCTAGGATAAAGACTCTTAAGACAAGACTTTAAGACATTAGGCTTGAACTCTAGGTACATAGGGACTTAGGACTCAGGGATCTTAGGACGCGCGGTGAGACTGTGGAACCTATACATAAGCCGCCCCTCACTTCATCCCTCCCCTATTTAAGGAAAAACTTTCCCCGCTTAACACATCAAAGTAAGGGCACCAAACTCTAAACTTAACATTCCTATAAACGTTGACCCAAAAGGACGACAGCATGGCACCAAACAGAAGACAATCAAGGACTCCAGAACCCGCCACACACGACCCCCTGACCCAAACTCTGCAACAACTAACACAAGTCGCCCAGGCACTAAGCGACGTGGCTCTTCCCAACAACAGGCCCCCACCACCTCCGTCAAACGCAAACTCAGACGTCGCCCGACAAGTTTCAAATCATCGACCAACCACGTTCTCAGGAGAAGAAGATCCCGTAATCCTGGAGGAATGGATCCGGACCCTCGACAAAATTCTAGGGTTAGTAGAATGCCCAGAAGAACGTCGCGTAGAGATAGCCTCGTTCTACGTCGGACACGAGGCAGACCTTTGGTGGATCCACGAAGAGCCCACTTACCAACAAGAACCGGGGTTCGACTGGGAAAGCCTCAAAACACGACTACGAGAGCGGTTCTATCCAACACACGTAAAAGCATCTATGTACGAAGAGTTCCTCCCACTACTACAAAAATACCTTTTAGCGTCGGCTATTTTGGACATACGACGTCGGTTATTTACCGACGTAGACCTAGCAGACGTTGTAAATAAATTATACGACGTCGGTTTTTTAAAAACGACGTCATATATTATTTTTAATTTTTTTAATAAGTACATACGACGTCGGTTTTTATTAAAAACCGACGTCGTATATCTATATTTTTTAAAAAAAATTGAGATACAACCTCGGATTTCTTAAAAAATCCGACGTCGTATCTTATTTTTTAAAAAAAAATATATATAGATACAACGTCGGTTTTATTAAAAAACCGACGTCGAAACTATTTTTAATTAAAAAAAAAAAAGCTGTTATAGAGAATGGCAGCGGCATCAATTTTGACAGGCAAAGAAGAGAGATAATTTGACAACAAATGTGTAGATCTCAACAAAGGAGTAGATCTCGCTTAAAACAAACAAAAAAAAATTCAAACAACAAGAAGCATAAAAAAGAAAAAAAATAGAAAATGCAAATACAAGTAATTCTTAGAAGCATAAAACAAAAAAAAAAAACAAAAAAAAAACTTTGTCGGAGGATTAAAAACAACAAACCTACTATAAGCCGTAGGGAGCAATCAATCGAAGGATTCATCCATATAACTACTATAGATCGAAGGATTCATATACGTAGGGAGAAATATCTATAGATCGGAGGATTTAAAACAACAAACCTCGTCGCCGACCGGACTTGCTACGCTCGTCGCCGTACAGTCTTGGTCGCCGGTGAACTCATGTCGCCACTCCAAGCTTGAAACTCGCTTGTTGCCGGAGAGCGTAGATCTGAGTCGTCATTTTCGGAGTCGCGAGGTTCTACTGCTGTACGTAAGAACGGATGAAGGTACATCGTGACGAAGAAGACGACGCTCTGTGCGAGATTTGTACAACATTTTCGAATGGATGAAGAAGGAAGATGATGGCGTGAAACATACTCTTAGAAACTTTTGTGTTAAGAAGGTAAGAAAAGATACGAGAGTAAGAAAAGATAAGACTGTAAGTGAGAGAGGCTGGGGAGATCTGATCTGTGTTAAATAAGAAAAGATACGACTGTAAGTCTTTCAGTTTTGTTTTTTAAAATTTATTTAGAACATACGGCGTCGGTTCTAGAGAGAACCGACGTCGTATGTCTTTAATTTCTTTTTTAAAATTTTATTTAAAACATACGGCGTCGGCTCTATAAATAATCGACGTCGTATGTCTTTAATTTCTTTTTTTTTTAGATTTTATTTAGAACATACGGCGTCGGCTCTGTAACGAACCGACGTCGTATGTCTTTAATTTCTTTTCTTTTAAATTTATTATGAACGTACGACGTCGGTTGTCTACAGAATCGACGTCGTATATTTAAATATTTTATTAAAAAAATTTAAGACGTCGATTTTTTACAATAACCGACGCCGTAAGTAATATATATTAATTTTTCTTTATTTTATTGACATATAACATCGGTTTTCCAAAAACCGACGTTAATTAGGAGACGTAGTATCCTTTTTCTGTACTAGTGTCCATTTGAAACAAGGAACGACTACCGTGATGGAGTACCATAAGCGATTCCTCGAACTAGCACGCTTCGCGCCAGAACTAGTCCCCACTGAGGTAACTAAGATAGAGAGATTCGTATTAGGCCCCAACTTCGAAGCCCGAAAGGCACTAGTGGTAAGCAGACCTCGGACCCTCAACGAGGCTTACTCCAGTGCCGCAAATCTCTATCGAATCCAACTACTCCAACGTGGGGTTCAAGAACAGATACAAAAGAGAAACACCGGGGGTGGAACACCACCCGTAAAAAGAACCAGAAACAACACCAACACAAGACCGAGTAACCTGGCCAGCCAAAGACCACCCCTAGGGAACAATGAAGCTAGCACGAGGAGCTTCCCTTGCCCGAAATGCAACAAAAGTCATAGAGGCAAGGATTGCATGGGCAATCCCTGGCGATGCTTCAACTGTAGAGAGGAAGGACACAAGGCCTTCCAGTGCACTCAACCCCAAGGGCCACGCCCCACCGCCACGGGCCAACACGGGGGCACCACTCACCAAGGAAACTACGGCACTCCCGGAAAGATATTCGTCATGAGCCGCACCCAGGCCGAACTCGGGAACGGGGACAACCGCGAAGAAGGAAACCTAACCCTAGAAGACGAGGACCACACAAACCCCGCCGAGGAGAACCAAGAAGACGAATTTTGTCTAGGATAGACCGGCAATTTCCTTGTAAACACCTTCGTAGCAACACTACTTACTTAGCTTAATTACTTCGGGAATAATTATAAATAAAAGATTAGATCGAAATTCGATCCTACTTACGGGGGCGGAACTAGAATTATACAAACAAACCAAGCCTCCCACCACTAGAAGACAAAAGAAGGAAAAAGACAAAAGCCACACCATCAAAAAACTTAGTGTTGCGAATAGGAATTAAACCCTTGACCTCCCATTTACAGGACCAAAGTCTTAATCACTAGGCTAAGAGTGCTTCTTGAAACCTCAAGGGGACACTCCCTTCTTAAAACCCCCACAAGTCCCTAAAACCCACAAAATCCCCAAATCAAAAAACCCTTCTTCTTCTCCTCTTCTTCCCCACTCCCTCTCCCTCTCTCCTCCCCTCTCCCACTCACCTCGCCGCCCCCAACACCGAACCCACAAGACCGCCGCCACCAGCAGCCGAACCACCACCGATCGCCCAGGCCGCACCCCGCCACACGCCGCCGTCACCACTGGAGAGGACCCGCGACACCGGCACCGCCCGCCACCCACCTGTACATCACCCGCTGCCAACACACGGCGCTGCCAACCCCGACGCCGCCCAGGACCACCGCTGCCTTGACGAGCCACGCCACCCCGCCGCCCCTCGCTGCCACCGGAAAACCCACGTCGCCGGAGAAGTCGCATCGCCGGAACCCTCGCCGGAGTCTCGTCGGACGTCCGCCGGAAAACGCCACCTAGGAGAAAAGTTCGAGAAAATGCCGAAAAAGACCCTCGAAATCCGCACCCCGGATTGGAGCAACGCCAGCTACACCATTATCGGAGGTAAAGCCCTCGAACCCGATCAATTCTCTCCGGAATTGGTCGACATGCTCAACCACCAAGGGCTTTTGGATACTTATCTCACCATTAAGGGGGATACGTACCCCGAATTGGTGAAGGAGTTCTATCAACACTTGGTGGCCATCAAACGAGGTGATAAACTAGAAATCACCACCAAGGTCCGAGGCAAGGAAATCATACTTTCCGAAGGCCGTTTGGCCAAACTCTTGAGACTGACCACCACGGGTGTGTCGGACTACGACCGTAAAGGGTGGATTGGTACCCGAAATACGGGGTACAAGGATTACCTCGGGTACCTACTCGGAAAAGAGGAAGGTTTCACCTCGGCCACGCGACCAAATAGGAAGTGGCTAACGGCGGAGCAAAAGATACTAGTTATGATTGTAACTGACAGCCTCTTGCCCACAAACAATAAGAGTAAAGACGTGGGGAGTTTAGAGTGCACTTTTGCCTACCTCTTGAAACACAAAATCAAGTTCAACCTACCGGCCCTCATGCTAAAACACATGGAATTTTGCAAGACGAGCAACCGACTTAGCCTGCCCTACGGGATGATCCTAAGTTGGATCATGGAGAAAAAGGGGGTAGACCTAAGCCACACTGAGGTCAAGACTGCAAACGGCATGATCTTTAACGCCCAGAACCTCCGCCGCAATGATATCTACTACACTGGAGGGGGACAATATCTCACCCTCGAAGAAATCTGCCTAAAACCCGAGGAGGAGCGAAGAGAATTGGTCGAACAATTGGACATCTCCAACAAAAAGCTCAAACGGGCAATGCAAGATTGTGGGGGTCTGGAGGGAAGTGAGGATTAGGAGGAGGATAACGAGCCTAACCCATCGGCGCACCCACGATCAGGAGGGAACCCAAGGGAACAATGCGAGGGCTCGGTCAATGAGCGCATCCTAGCACAACTCAACCAGCAAAACCAAATCATGGAGGAAGGGTTCTCGTCCTTGGTCCGTACCACACGCGCATTAGATCAGAGGGTGGCAGCAATCGAGGCCACCTTGGGCAGTCGCAGGGCATCCAGCTCCGGAGCAGGAAACCAAGGTCGACCCGCACTTCCCGATCACCACGACACCAGAAGTCCAGTCTACCCCAGCAAAGACAAAACGTGGGGCCACGTTCCTAACCAGGAGGCCAAAATACGGGATGTCCGGGGGTGAAAGATTGGATTAACACACCAGGCTTCGGGGACGAAGCCCCTTGTAAGGGGGGGAGAGTGTAACACCCCGTGTTACGACCCCTAAAACCAATTAATCATTTAACCAATTATCCAAAGAAAGAATTAAATTACAATAATTAAATTGGAAAAGGCCCACCATGGCCCGTGGGCCCTCTTCCCTAAACCCAACCCCTAGTCCTAAAAGGAATAGAGTTAGCAAGCCTATAATATTTGGGCCCTAATTAGGACTCTTAGATATATAAATAGGAGACATAGGAGGCACCTAGAACCCCCACCACAATAATATCTCACCACACAAGAGGTTCCAAGAATTCCCTTAGGAGAAATCAAGAAAGAAGAAAGCTTAAAGAAAGACCCTTCATAGCCAAGGAATTAATTAAGGCTAAGAGGTAACTCATGTCTCAAAAAAACCTATTTTCATAGCTATGATTCCCCTCTTAGGATTTCCCCATATTCCTATGTATTGATGATTCGTTATATTGTTCTTGACGATTGGTGTTATAATTCCATGGGCGATCTTGATAATCTTGTTGATGAAAAATGGATTCTTGATGATTGTGTGATTCTTGATGGAACCTAGTTTCTTGATGATTATGTGCCATTCTTGATTGTTCTTGATGTTTAAAGAGGAATCGTGTTCTTGTTAAATTGAATGTGTCTAGATCCCTAGGTTGTATCGTGGAATTCGTATGGTGTTATCCTTAATGTATTGGGTGGGAATTCGCATGTTCGGGTATTAATTATGTTTAGAAAAGCATGATAGGATATGTGCCGTATGTTTCCCGCTTTTGATCCGTTAATTGTCTACGTGTTGTTATCAATTGCGTTTGAAAGTGTCTAAGCATGGTTCCGGGTTCCACTAAGGTTCCCGGGGCATTTTTGTGATGAAAGAGTCAGTGGGGGTAGGGGACCCGCCACCTACCCGCGGCTAACTTTGAAGTCGCCGGCAGTGGGCAACCGGCGGGCAGGTGACTGCCCGCCGGGCATCCACTGCCCGGAACCACGACGCCGGCGGGTGACCCCTCACCCACCGGCTACCCTCTGGATTTTACCCCACTTTGGGATTCCGGCTCCCCCGTTTGATGTTCCCCTGATCCCCGTGGTGTCCCAACGGACTCCGTCTATCGTGCCTATGTCTAGTTTGATGTTCGGGTACCATTCGTAGGTTGAATAAGTCTTATATATCGCATGCTAGATGAATTGGTATCCCGTTGGCCTAGGCGTAAGAAGTATGAACCCGTTAGGATTATTCTTAGTATGTGAATGATCACGCATAGGTTTCGTTATACGATTTCTTCCCCTCCCCAATGTGCCTATGTGGGTTGCATGTGTTTGCTATGTGTTATGTGTGCATGATACCCCAATTCGGTTGCGATCGAATTGGTTATTCCTGAGCTGCGGTTCAGAAGCTGGCTACGGTCAGATTTACACTCTCGGGTTGCGGTCCACCGTTTGGTTGCGATCAAACGTTTTACATGAGTTGCGGTTCGTATTCCTGGCTGCGGTTAGATGACTACTCTTGGGCTGCTGTCCACTGTTTGGTTGCGATCAAACATTATGATGAGATACGGTTCATCGGTCGGTTGCGATCGACCCCTCCATGTTGCGATACGGGGCAGGGTGCTGCGGGGCCGTGTCAGAGCTATATGCGCTGACCCTCATGTATGGGCATGCGATTGGTCCTGTGGCGCCAACAAAGTGTGCTATGTGATGAGATATGGATGATTGGATTATTATGAAAGCGTGACCATAGGATACATGCTACTAACTGTATATGCTCGTTTATGACTATTGGTTGTGTTTATCTCCACACCTGTGAATTATGCATGCTTGGTTATGACTATTGGTTATGCTTGTCCCTATCTGTCGAGTCTATTCCCTGTTTTGAAAGCTAGAGTCTCTTAGGATATATCTTCATGCTTCGAAATGGTTTTCATATATCTATGTATATATCTATATGTATTTTTATTTCAACGCGTTGGAGTGGGTTACCAGCATCTCTCGTTGAACAAATATATTTGGCTTTCAGGCACCAACGAGTAGATCACTGGAGTGCGCTAGAGGCTTGAGGCGTAGATTAGATAGTTTTCCCTTCCGGCCTGCGTGCCATGATTTTGTATTGATACTGATTGAGGTTTTTAGAATTTAGCCTGTGCACTTGAGTTCTCTAGCTCGGGTGTGGAATAACACCCCATATTCTTATAAACGTTTTGGGATTTATGATCATTTACCTTTGTTATATAGTCTTTAAAAGTTTTTAAAATTTCAGGGTGTTACAGTCCTCGTGGTGGCCGTGACATGATTATGGAGCTGTGGCCTTTGTGTAAGTTTCGCGTGATTTTACTGGGATAACATGTGTTATCCAGGGCATGTGTTGCCATGTGTGTGTACGGTACCTCGTGTACTATGAAATGGGTGGCTTTGTTGGAGGGACTGTTAGAGGGGGAACGACGGTTCCCGGGAGAATAAGGTTGGACTTGGTGTACAGGGGTCCTGGAGGTAAAGGTTGGGGGTAGCCATAAGGTTGGAACAGGGCATAAGGAAGGCATATCAACTCGTGATGTGTGATGTCACGACGGCTTGTGTACCGTGGTTGTGTTCTCTCTTGTGACGTGTGTAGTCATAAAGGCATGTGTTGCCTGTTGTGTGAGTCTTGTTCTTTTGCGTGGAACTTGTCGGGTTTTGATCTATTGAGTGAGGATAGATCATACCTTGACTCTTCTTGTGAGTCGTGTTGATCTTGTGGTCTTGGGATGTGTTCCCGTGTTGGTTGTGAGAGTGTTGAATCTTACGTTGGCTTTTACTCTTGGTTTTACACTTATATATATGTATTCCGTTTCGAAATGATTTTGTATATATATCCTATCTATGTATGATACTTAACAGGTATTGGTGGGTTACCAGCATTATCGCTGACCGGGCGTCGTCCCATGTTTTTCTTTGTGTTCTTTCAGGTGATGTCTAGATCAGACGAGCGCGATGTCTAGTGCCCGATAGTATAGTACATTTCCTTTGCTTTATGGCCTGTGAGCCGATGTAGAGATAGACTTATGAGTTTGGGATAGTTGTGTACACAATGCAGATTTGACCGCCGTAGCGTTTATCATTGTTGGTAAACGTGGCATAAGACCCCTGTTTTGGATTTACTTTTATCCAGT